TTTGAGTTGATCCATGTATTTATTTTGTGAGACTTAATTTTATGGAATAATATACTAAAAATAGTTATGTGCATTCTTGGATGGATGTAGAGGTCGGGGATTCAACCTCCTTTTCAAAAAAGGTTATCAGCTTTATAATAACTGCTCAAACCAGATGAGCTTTTTTTACAGCGGAAACGAGCTTGGCTGGTGAGTGTTGCTCTGGTAGATTCTTTACAAAACTGCCATGGCAGTTCGTTTAGATGGAGATTTATTTGTCCAAAATTGCCACCGCCTGATCCTAATTAGACCAGTGTTTTTAAATACTACTCCCTCCGTTCTGAATTACTTGTCTTAGATTTGTCTAGATACGGATGTATCTAGCACTAAAATAAGTCTAGATAGATCCGTATCTAGACAAATCCAAGACAAGTAATTTAGGACGGAAGGAGTAGAAGAGATTCTACTTGAGCTGAAGTTCAATATAAAAAGAATTTTCTTTTCTTTTGTTAAACAAAGAAATAAAAAACACTGGTGACACTGACGAGTAATGGGTACGGCACCGAATCTCATGTTACTGGTTGCTTCATCGTAGCCGTGAAATCTGGGTGGGTCCTCACGAGCCTCGTCATGCACCCGTTCCATTTGATCACCGTTACTTTAACCCAAAACGGCGCTAAATAAGATTTTATCGTCAATTCTCCAAGGGTCATGGCCGAACATTTTATTAAGAAAAGAGAGAGCACTACATTATTGGTTTCATCTGTACATATTAACTTCTCCTTTTTACCCTTTTTTTTTTCTCATTTCCTACTCGGATGGCAAAGCTTTTGCTTTTGTTTTATCTACTACAAAACCTAATCAACGCCTCGGTGGTCACCATGTCACTACCGCACACAGAAAGAGCAAGTAGACAAGCGTTACTCTGCCTCGTTCACTCATTCTTTGCAGCATTGGAAGGTCGCCTTACTGATCCCAGTGACTACGACGACGACGGCCGCCTGAGGCGCACCGGTGAGGAAGCGGCCGGTGCGCTCGCGTAGCTTTCGTGGTTGCAATAAATCGTTAGAGTATCTCCAGCCGTTGCCCCTCAGGAGGCGTTAAAAATCATCCTCTAGGGGCGCACCGGCGAAAACCGCGTGCTGGGGGCGTGATGGCCCCCAGTCGCGGCGCCCACGAGTTATTTAAAAACCACAAACTAGATGCAAATTCATTCAAACTTCGGCGAGTTCATACATATTTAAAATATTTTATAAAAAAATAAAAAAAACGCTACTCGCCGCGGCCCGCCGTCGCCCTTGCCGCTACTCGTCGCCCGCCGCCCTTGAAGCTCTACATGCCGAGGAGCCTGTAAAACCGCATGTAGTCGCCGCCGCCGCCGCCGCCGTCGTCGCCTCCTCCGCGGCCGCCGTCCCTGCTGCACCCCTCCCCAGGTTGGCGCGGCGGGTTGGACGGCCCGGGGGCGTCCTCGTCCTCGTCGCTGTCGAGGATCACCACGCCGTGCTCGTCCTCGCGCCCACGCTTGCGGGCGACTATCTCCTCCAGGGCTCGGCGCTGCCGGACCATCTCGTCGCGGAGGTAGTTGTCCCACGCCCACTTTATGGCCTCCTCGTCGGAGAAGCCGCGCCGGACTATGGCCTCATACTCCGCCGGGAGGCTGGGCTCCGCCTTCGGCCTGAGGAGGACGAGGCGGCCAGAGGTGGGGGAGGAGTCGGCGATGCGGACGCCGGAGCTGCAGGTGCGGTGGCTGACCAGCGTGTCCTGGGGCTCCGGCTTGACGGGGTGGAGGCAGGAAGAGCCGGTCGAGTGGCCGGACGAGCAGGAGGACGCCCCCGGGTCCATGCGCCTCGGCGCCCACGAGCTCCCACGCCAACGGGAGAAGGACGAGGGAGCGGGGTACTCCAGCCTGGGCGTGTTGCCGCCCTTGATGTACTCAAGGACGGCCTCCAGCGTGCGGCCGGGCATGCCCCACCATCGGCAGCGGCCTTCGGAGTTGAGCCTCCCGGAGGGCATGACGCCATTGGTGGCCTCGAGCTGCTCGGCGTGGCGGCGGCGGAAGTAGGGCTCTCACGGCGGGCTATCAGGGACGTACTGTGGGCCTTCCCTCGCCGCCTGCGGCAGAGAGGCGCGGATACGCTCGATCTCCGCACGCCGCGCCGCTCCGATGGGCGGTGGGGGCACCGGGACCCCGCCGGCGCTGATCCTCCACGCCCCGGGCACCCGCATGTCCGGCGGGACCGGGTACTCGGCTTCATAGAGGAGCCGAGCTTCGTCCTCGTGGAGGTGCCGGCGGCCGAAGCCGTTCGCCGCCACGCCGTCGCCTGGGAAGCGCTCGGCCATGGTTGAACTGGAACGACGAGAGGAGAGGGAGGGACGGGGGAGGAACGAGGCATCAGCGGTGGAGAGTCTGTGCGTCATCGACACGCTGGGGCGGCTTATATAGGCGGAGGCGCCGCGCGTCCGCGTGGCCATGTTACGTGTGGCGGGCGAGGGACGCGCGTCGTCCGGTCTTCACTGCACCGCCCGTGAGGCATCAATGGAGGAGGATGACCGGCGGGGCAGCACGCGACAGCTTTGGCATTGATTCGCCGCGGGAACCGAGGCGATGAGGATGACGAAGCAGCGAGAAGAGCCGAGTCGCTGCCAAGGAGGGCCCGCCGACTTCCGCGCAAAAAACGATTCGGCCAGCGCCCCCAAGCGCCCCCAGCACGCCGGGTTCGGCCTGGGTCCGCCGGTGCCAATTTCGGCCCGATCCGACAAAAAAGGGCCTTTGAGGCGCGACTGGGCCGACTTTTCAGTGCCGGCGGCCGATATATCGCCTGGGGGGCCTTGTTGGGGGCGCGGCTGGAGATGCTCTTAGCTTCTGTGGTGTTGCAGGGACGGTATGGACAGCCAGCGCGCACATTGTCACCGCCGTGATCCATGGGGGGTTGGCCTATAAGACCCCCCCCCCAGGAGTCCTCCATGCAGGGGGACGACTCTTAGCTTATCACACACACATACGCACCCGCAGGAGAGGTAGAATGGCGAGCTAGCTCCTTCTTCCTCCTCCATCCAACAGCTCGAGGAGCACCATTGTAGCCATTGTGCATATTATACCATTTTGGCAAGACTAGGGGTGTTACCTCCCCGATGGGTCCCGAACCTGGGTTCGTCTTTAGTCTCGCTCTCGGGCGTGCCAACCTCGCTGACGGAACCCATCGGCGTCCTCATGCAGCCCCCCACTTTTAGCCATCTCATGGCATCTGCCGTGATTTCACCACGATACGCGGGTCGATGTGCAGATGCTGGTGATGACGCCGACATCCGTCGAGAGGAAGTAACGCCGGAGCAGGTTCATGTGCCAGGACCCCTCCCCATCCAAGAGCTCCACCACCCTCCTTTCGCGGCACGTACCCTGTGGTGATATGAGCTGCCGTGATGGCTCTCTAGGAAGCCACCGGTCCCGCCAAATGCGGATGTCCCGCCCGAGTTGCCTGCCAAGTCGAGGTCATGCTGAATCGCCTGCCAAGTCAGAGAAGCATTTCCAGAGAAGACCGTGTCTTCGAGACGACCGTCATGATAGTACCGTGCCTTGAGGACCTGCGTACATAAACTGGTGAGATTAGTTAGCAGACGCCAGGCCTGTCTCTCTAGGAGCACTTGGTTGAAAAGTCGGAAACCAGTGGATCCCAAACCACCCATGCTTTTCTTGGCTTGTATCTTCGGCCATCCATGCTAGCCAATGTTTTCTCCGCTTGCCTTCCGACCCCTACCAAAAGTTCCGGGCCATTCTGTTCAGATCATCACCGACTGACATAGGTAACTTGAAAACACCCATAATATATATATGGATGGCCTGAGCTACTGCCTTGATCATAGTCTCCTTGCCAGCCAAAGAGAGGGTATCGCCCCGCGTAATAATCCGCTTCAATAGCTGGGATTGCAAATTCTGAAATTTACCTCGCGTCATACGACCCTCGGGCGTTGGGAGGCCTAGGTACTATTCTTCAAAAGTAATTGTATCAATATTGAGAGTTGCTCTCACCACGTCTTGCTTCTCCACTGGACAAGAAATGACAAAGAGGGCATTACATTTGGCCGGATTAATATATTGTCCAGTGGCATCTGCATATGTGTTTAGCACTTCCTGAATCTTTTTTGCTTGACCTTCCTTCGCCTTGAAGAATAGCAAGGCATCATCTGCAAACAATAAGTGGGACACGCCAGATGCTTTTCAGCATATTTTCGGCGCGGTATAATCCAGTCCACCCACCGGCGAGCGAAGCCCATCTCATGTCAAAGGTTGATTCATCGTAGCCGTGAAACCTGGGTGGGTCCTATTGAGCCTCATCATGCACCAGTTCAGTTTGATTACCTCATGGTTTTCTTTAACCCAAAATGGCGTAAAAGAGGATTTTTATCATCAATTCTCCAGCGGTTGATGGTTGAAGCTTTTATTAAGAAAGAGAGAGCACTACCGAAAATTCACAGGGGTAAGCATTTGCTCAGCCGTGCTCGGTCGTATGATTGCTTCGTGATCCACAAAGTCATTGGATTTCGTGAGGATACATCAAGTTCTAAGTGTTAGTTTTCGAAACTTGTGATTTTTGTCGTTCTTTTTATCAAGTTTCAGTTTCAGTAGATGAAACTTAGTGGAACTTTGAAAACTCATCAAAATGTATTCAAAATAGGTCTCATTTGAAAGCCTTTGTCACAAGAAACACGAATATGAAAACAAAAATTAATTTGGATATTTGGTTCAAAAGATACGAAAGATCAAAAATAATAAAAAAAGCCAAAAGAAAAATAGGGTCGATGCCCCCCGCCCGGCGCATGACACAAATCCCCTCTCGGAACAGTACATGATTAATTTTGTTTGTACAGTACATATTAATTTCTCCTCCTCTCAGTCGGTTGGCAAAGTTTCTGCCTTTGTTTTAAAAAAAAAACCCTACTATAAAACCAAAGTAATGGACGTCTACACAGAAAGAACAAGTAGACAAGTGTTACTCTGCCTCGCTCGCTCGCTCTTTGCAGCAATGGAGGATCCCCGCACCGATCCCAGGGACTACGACGACGACGGCCGCCTGAAGCGCAGCGGTGAGGAAGCGGCCGGCCACATGGCCTTACCGGCCGGTGTGCGTTCGCGTAGCTATCGTGGTTGCAGCAAATCGTCTGATTCTGTGGTGTTGCAGGGACGGTATGGACGGCCAGCGCGCACATCATCACGGCCGTGATCGGGTCAGGCCTGCTGGCGCTGCCGTGGGCATCCGCGCAGCTCGGCTGGGTGGTCTACCCGGTCATGGTGCTGCTCTTCGCCTGCATCATCTGCTACACCTCCGCGCTGCTCTCCGACTGCTACCGGTCCGGCGACCCGAGCCACGGCGAGCGCAACTGCACATACATTGACTCCGTCAAGGCCAGCCTAGGTACGTGTTCCCTAACTCCTACGTCGATGGCGGCAGCTCTGCCCATGTCTTCTTCAACTTTACACGGATCTTAACTAGCACACTCATGTCTACTTTGCCATTTCGCCCATGGATGGATCAAACAGGACGCGCAGATGTTGGGATATGCCAGTTTCTGTATACTCCAACATCTTCGGGGTGGCCATCGTGTATACCGTAGCCGCCTCCATGAGCATGTTGGCAATCCAGAGGGTTAACAATGATCTACTACATCTATAGCAGCAACCATCTCTTGACATCAACTGTGATGTCGCCACCATGTTCCGCGACCCAGCAACTATAAATAGTTCCAACAACGAAGGTGCTCGTCACACTTTGCAACGGAGATCGAAGAGGGAAGTCACCGACACCGTCAAATGACTAAATCCCAATTCGGCTCCTCCTTCACGGACGATGGTAGGATGAAAGGGGGAAGGGTAAAGTGCGTCACCGCATCAGCCCAGTCGGCCGTGGCCGCGCCCTTCATCTTCTTCAGCCGCGATGAGGCCGCCAAAACAATGGATCCCACGACGGTCGCTCCATAGCAGCGGGTTGTGGGGACACAAAAACGGCACGGTGGGTAGGGGGTTTGGTGGCAGCCACGACGGCAGCAACCACTGGAGGAGGTGCCGCGGGTGCGGCAGTAGTGGCGGCGACGACGGTGGGGTCGCCCGCCGCGTCGGAGATGTTGTCCAGAGCGGTCTGGTGGCTGGCAGCGGTCGTGCATGGGAGGAAGGTGGGTAGCGGTCACGCGCGGGAAGGTTCAATGTGGCGGTTGAGCAATCGCGCGTTGTGTGTTTTTTTTTTGCTGCAACCGGCTCCAGTGTGTATATTTTCAGCCCAAGTCGATGTAATTTAGGACTGCCCACAAAACAGTTCAACAAAATTTACGGACAGGACAGTTGTTGGAGCTATTTTTTGGTCGAAAAGACCTAAAAAGAAATTATTTTGGCTGTTGACCTAGTGTAGGGCTGATGTTGTATGCCCACCAAAAAAAAAGGGCGGATGCTGTAGATTCTCGAACATGGAGGGGGCTCTACAGCGACCCAAAGTTAGTGCTAGCCGAGTGGCTTCTTGGTTAAGAAACTCTGTTAGTGGACTGGTTAAAAAAAATTAGAGCTTTTGTAGGAGTGATAGAGGTCCCCGTGGACGTGCTTTCACCCACCACCGGAATTATCCTTCCCTATATTATGCTAGGTCGCGATCGATGCCTAATCCTCAAGTTCGGTAACTGATGTGGTTAAATTTTATTTCTAAACTAAGTTACCCTAAGGATTACTAGACCATTTTATGAGTATTGCATTGAGTGTTTTGATCTTGCAGTTATGATTATTAGACATTTTATTGATATGAATATATCAAACAAACGAGTTTTTTGTTTACAACGGAAATGAACTTGGCTGTTGAGTGTTGCTCCATCTAGACTCTTGTTGTTCTAAGCACGGAACATAATTTGTGCCAATAGTAGTCATTTTAAGAAACTACTCCCTCCGTTTCGAATTACTTGTCATAGGTATGGATGTATCTAGATGTATTTTAGTTCTAGATACATCCATTTCTGCGACGAGTAATTTAGAACGGAGGGAGTAGATAATTGTTTCTGCATTATAATAGAGGTATAAATATTTTACATGCAATCATCATGATTGATTGACCAATTGAATCATTTAAAAAATGACATGGACTAGTTGAGGTGGTTCTAAAGGAAAACTATTGCAAAAATGTCAACAAAACCAAAAACTGGTGAGGTGGGATGAGAAGGGAGGACAAAATAAAAATATGGACTAATGTTACATGTCTTTTATAGCAAAATAGCTAGCATCCACTAACTTATTCCAGAGTACTTGCATCTATGTTTTCTTACTAAATTACCTCGATCATCTTAGTTGGCTTTAATCCTGGTGCCTCACCTCCAGCTAGTAGATATGTTAGGGTTTAGTCCTTGCAGAGGTCGCGCTAGGACGAATGACAACACTTCTTCTTTGAGTCATTCTTCCGGTCTTATCTTCCTCAAGTTAGTCCGCCGAGACAGATTAGACAACGTAGATTCCTGCCAACTCCTCGGGGCTGCGAGGTAAGACACTCTCGTCGTCCGTACCGGACGACGAGAGTTGCTATCAGTGTCTTCGAATCGATTTAGGGATTCAACGACGACGAATGCGGCTCCGGGGCATTGGTCCTTAGGGGCACATGCACAAAGCATTCCGACTGGCTCCAGTACGGGAGAGGCGGCAGTGGCGCGACGGCCCCACCGGGGCATTGGTCCTTAGGGGCACGTGCACGAAGACTTTTCGACTATCGTCGACAAGGTCGGACTTGCTCCAGTATGGGAGAAGCGGCAACAACACGACGTCGGCTCGTTCTACCGGTGATAGTGGTCGTTCAGTTGTCCAGAAACATCGCTATAATTTTTACTATGTTTGGGATGCCTTATACTTTTGATGAAGTCTTATGAATAAATCTGAGGCCTCCTTTGGTTTGAAGGAATTTCATAGGAATTCTAGATGATAGGATTCTTATAGGATTTTTTCCTTTAGAGCCCTTTGGTTCATAGGAATGGATTTCTATTCCTACATAGGATTGGTTTCTATCCTCCACATTTCATAGGAAAATAAAAATGAGCCTAGACTCAATGAAAAAATTCCTTTCGTGTCAACCAAATGACATCTCATTTTCTATCCCTACTCATAGGATTTGAGATACATGTCATCTCATTTCCTACAAAATTCATATTCCTACGATAACCCTATCCTATGAACCAAAAGAGGCCTGAGTCATTTCGCGAAAAAAAAAACAATCAATTGCATGCATGCATGCCTCTTCGAGACCATAACCAGCCCCCCCCCCCCTCTTCACGCACTACTATCTGATTTTGTCTAGCCACTTTCAATTGGCAACTGACTTATTTAAAAGTACGAAACATCTCAAACATAATACTACGTAGTACTATATTGAGTATATAGGTGTACCTGAAAATAGCTAATAGCATGGTACTCTGACATCCGGGCTAACGATTATTGTAGCTTTGCAAAAAAAAGAAGAAGAAAAACACTACTGACATAAGGTACGACACTGAATCTCATGTGAAATGTTGATTCATCGTAGCCGTGAAACCTGGGTGGGCCCTGTCGAGCCTCGTCATGCACCAGTTCCATTTGATCACCTCATGGATTTCTTTAACCTAAATGCGTAAAAGAGGATTTTATTGTCAATTCTCCAGTGGTCGATGGCTGAACTTTTTATTAAGAAAGAGAGAGCACTACCGAACATTTGCAGGGGCATGCATCTGCTCAGCCGTGCTCGGTGGCATGATAGTTTCGTGATCCACAAAGTTATTGAATTTCGTGCGAGGATACACCAAGTTTTAAGTCTTAATTTTCAATACCTGTGATTTTTGTTGTTCTTTTGTATCAAGTTTCAGTAGATGAAACTTAATGAATTTTTAAAAACTCATCAAAATGTATTCGAAGTAGGTCTTATTTGAAAGCCTTTGTCACAAGAAACACGAATATGAAAACAAAAAGTAATTGGATATCCGGTTCAAAAGATAAGAAAGATTGAAAATCGAAAGCCAAAAAAAAACTGTCGATGGCCCCACCTGCATGCCACAAATCCCCTATCAGAACTCTTTGTTTGTACATATTAATTTCTCCTTCTCTTAGTCGGTTGGCAAAGTTTCTGCCTTTGTTTATCTACCACTACCATAAAACCAGCACACAGAAAGAGCAAGCATACAAGTGTTACTTGCCTCGCTCGCTCACTCTTTTGCAGCAATGGAGAATCCCCGCACCGATCCCAGGGACTACGACGACGACGGCGGCCTGAAGCGCACCGGTGAGGAAGCGGCCGGTGACGTTCGCGTAGCTATCGTGGTTGCAGCAAATCGTCTGATTCTGTGGTGTTGCAGGCACGGTATGGACGGCCACTGCACGCATCATCACGGCCGTGATCGGGTCTGGCGTCCTGGCGCTGCCGTGGGCATCGGCGCAGCTCGGCTGGGTGATCTACCCGATCATGGTGCTGCTCTTCGCCGGCATCATCTGCTACACCTCCGCGCTGCTCTCGGACTGCTACCGATCCGGCGACCCGAGCCACGGCGAGCGCAACTGCACATACATGGACACCGTCAAGGCCAGCCTAGGTACGTGTCCTAAGTTCCTAACTCCTACATCGATGGAGAGGCAGCTATGCCCATGTCTTCAACTTTACGGATCTTAACTAGCACACTCATGTCTACTTTGTCATTTCGCCCATGGATGGATCCAACAGGACGCGCACAGGTTTGGCTATGCCAGTTTTCTGCATACTCCAACGTCTTTGGGGTGGCCATCGGGCATACCATCGCCGCCGGCATGAGCATGTTGGCAATCCAGCGGAGGGCTAGCTGCTTCCAGCACAACAAGGGCCACCGCCACCCGTGCAATTTCCCAATCTGGCCCTATATGATAACCTTCGGCGTGGCGGAGATCTTCTTATCGCAGATCCCGGAGTACCATACGTGGTGGTTCTCATATCTCGGCCCCGCCATGTCCTTCACCTATTGCTCTATCGGCGTCGGGATCAGCATCGCCAAAGTCGTCGGTAACACACGCACACGCTGCTCAATGAATGATCTATGGCAACGGCATCAATCATGTCATGCTTGAACCTTGGATGCGTGCAGAGAACGGAGTCCTCAAGGGCGGCCTCGTCGGCATCGGCATGACCGCGGTGACCGCGTCCCCGACGAGTAAGGTGTGGGGAAGCCTGGAGGCGCTGGGCGTCATCGCCTTCGTCTACTGCTACTCAAGAATCTTAATCGAGATCCAGGACACCATCAAAGCGCCTCCTCCGCCCGAGTCCAAGGTCATGAAGCTTGCCACCGCCATGGGCGTCGCTGTCACCACGTTCTTATACCTGCTCTTTGGCTTCATGGGGTACGCCGCGCTGGGGGCCGCTACCCCAGGGAACCTGCTCGCGGGGCTCGGCTTCTACGAGCCATACTGGGTCGTCGACATCGCCAACGTGGCAATCATCGTCCACCTCGCCGTCGCTTACCAGGTCTACTGCCGGCCCATCTACGACTTCGTCGAGAGGTGCGCCGCGCGTAGGTGGCCGGAGTCGTCCTACGTCACAAGGGAGTTCGACGTGCTCGTCTTGAGGTCGTCGTACAAGCTGAACCTATTCCGAGCTACGTGGCGGACCGCGTTCGTGGTCACCACCACGGTGGTGGCGGCGCTGCTGCCCTTCTTCCACGACGTGGTGGCGCTCGTCGGCGCACTGGGGTTCTGGCCGTTGTGTGTCTACATCCCAGTGGAGATGTACGTGACCCAGAAGAAGGTGCTTAGGTGGAGCCCCCTGTGGGTGTGGCTGCAGATCCTCAGCCTCGGCTGCCTCTTCGTCTGCTTGGCCGCCATGGCCGCGTCCATCGTCGGTATCATCACTATTCATAAGAAGTAATATTTGGGTGTGCAGGGTGATACTGATACTAGGGTTCTTATCTTGCTGAGGGTGTAATGTTAGGATTTGGCTTGCTATGTACGGCTCTTGTAAATCGGATCCTCTTAGACTGGCTGCAACGGTAGCATCTTGTGCTCGACTAGCCAGCAAGTGAGTTTGTTAAACTTTTTCTTTTTCTTATTGTCGAAAGGAGATCTTTTCTTGTTGTCCAGGGGAGCTTAAAAGCAGCCGACTTTCCAGCTAGGCATGCTTTTCTAGTGTAGGTTAGATTATCGCACACGGTTTAAGCGACGGTGGGAGGTGAGGGGGTGATGATGGTGGTGATGGAGGTGTTAGGACATACTCCCTTCGTTCCTAAATATTTGTCTTTCTAAATATTTCAAATGACTACTACATACAGATATATGTAGACATATTCTAGAATGTAGATTCACTCATTTTGCTTCGTATGTAGTCACTTGTTAAAATGCCTAGAAAGACAAGTATTTAGAAACGGAGGAAGTATATGTAGAAAAACCACGTGCAATTGGACATCAGTTGAGTAGTGCGTTTTATAAAAACAAAACATTAGGGATCCATTGCACATACGGTGAATAACACAATCGTGTGTGCGGTTGGGGTTTATTGCATACCTTTAGGCAATGTAATAACCACAAGTCCACAACAATAATTTATTTTTCCCATTATTTAGTCTGCGCAACAAGCAAATTTGGTACAATTTGAATTAAACTTAGTCACACATAATATTTCATAGTCATCAAACAGACCGAACATATCCCATATTGGTTCGTCCAGCATTGCATAATTGACATCACAGTAGCAGTGCATGTTCAAACACCATACGAATAAGGACTGACATATACAAGCACCAAAACAACTACATTTGTAGCACTCCACATTTGACATCTAAAATCTTTAACATCAGCAGCATCATAAACAATAAACGGATAAGTGAAGAACATCCAGGTCGTTGGTGAAGTGGAAGGCCTATATTGTGCCCTCCTCCATATCTAAGGTGTGCACAACTTTACTATAATCCCTTATGATGATTGCCGTCCAATCCTTCGCCATCTTGAGGAAGACTTCAAGATCATCACGGTAGTCTGGGTGAAATACTTTCATTTTCCTTGCCTCGTCACCAGTATGTAGTTTGCAAGGTATCCATCGATGAACTATTTTGGAAATCACTGAAAACAAAAGAATTAAGATACTATTGTCTAAATATTCATTCTTTATGAAAAAAAGAGCTAATATGTTCTATATTTAACTATTGTCTATGTTATTGTGCAAAATAGAGTTTGACCTATATCTCAATGAGCTTTGGCAGTTTCTTAATTTGACGCTTAATGCGCCGAGGAAGAACAAGGCCTAAACGATTAGGTGCATCTCTTCACTTGATGGTGGTCCCATCTATAAGAAGGGCCAAAGGTTCCCAAAGTTAACCCCCATCACGGAAATGACGCCTACTAGACAGGAACGGGATGGTAGGGAAAAAGCATAAGACCACCTACCTTTTTAGGAGTAAACTGAGGAGAACCGGAAACTAAGGGTAAAACTGTCGGGAGAGGGAGGCGATATTGAGGCGGAAATGTAAATAACCCTTTTTCAATACACAAACATATATTTTTTAAATTAACGAACTTTCAAAAAATGTGTGAGCACTTTTTAAAATTACACATGCATTTTCTTGAATATGCAATCACTTTTAGTTACAAGAACAAAAATTTCACTTTTTTAACCTGGTTATATATTTTTCTGGACCATTTTTTAGGGAATGCCATCATGGCTCACTTTATTGCTTTCAAATAGTTGTTACATCATCCACAAGCAAAGAAATGATAAAACTAGGAGGTTCATCAACTCAAACATTGTGATTGTGATGAGCCTCCCTAGCTAGGCTATGAGCAACAAAATTGGCATCCCTATTACAGAATGAATACTCAACTCTACTAAAAGTAGTAGCATGTTACAAATATCCTCATAGAACGGAGCAGCTGGCGTCGACGAGAATCCTCCAGCATGCATAGTTTCAATGGCCTCCAAGCAATCAGACTGAATAACAATTTTGTTATATCCCATCTCATTTGCCAAAGCGATTCTAAAGAGGGTTCGAATAAAAAAGTTAACAAAAGGATTAAAAAGTTTTTTTAAAGGAATATCCTAGCTACTGGGCCGGCAGATGAGCTGTTTGTTGTGCGCGAGGCACAATTCTAGCACGCCAAGAGCAGTATGTAGCAGCCCTGTATATGCATGCTCTTTCCTGGGCTGTAACATGGTATACGGCAGCATTTGGGACTAAGGCTCGGGGAACAAAGGGCATCTCCAAAGAATAGCCTTCAGGTGTGTTTGGTAGCAGTTTTCACTATAGCATTTTTGTTCCTCTTTTAGACATGCTAACTTTATAAATGTTGAGTACATACATTTGTTGTTGTTTGGTAGCACTGTAAGTGTTGAGACAAGCTGACCTAAGAGTTTGTTTGGCAGCCTATATTTGTCTAGACACGCTGAACAATTTCAAATTTCAAATAATTCTTTTGAACGGCAAACAAAATTTTAAAAATGTGAACAAAAATTTAAATACATTCTAGAATTCATTTTTCAAGAGCTATAAGCAAATTTTGTATTTATGATTATTTTTTTGAAATACAAAATTTGAAATTCTGAACATTTTTCAAAAATTTGAAGTTCTAAACATTTTTTAAAATTTTAAACAAATTTTGAAATTCTGAACATTTTTTAAAAAATAAACATTTTATAATTCTATTTTTTAAGAACTTATACAAAATTAGAAGTTCTGAACTTTTCAAAAATTTAAACAAAATTTGAAATTGTGTTGGCGTGGCGATCTCCGTAGCTTGTTTCGACCTCATGACGACCTTTTACATGAATATTATTGTTAACCAGTATATACCCAAGATGTAAGACATTATGCATACATCTCTACTCCTAATGGACGAATTGGTTGAATAGTCCCCCCTACTTTCAACCGGTTTATTTTCAACCGGTTTTTCTTCGTCCCACCTCCCACCACCACCCTCCCACCGGTTTTTCTCTTTCTCGTCTGGCCGACAATACCCAACGTATTTATGGTAATCAATCACAATTAATCCACGTATGGTAAGACTATAAACTTAGAAATATCAAATATGATAATTATAGTAATAAATCAATCCATGTATGGTAAGGCTATAACTAAAGAAATTTCGAATATGGTAATTATCACCAGAATCAAAGCTTTCCAAAAAAGTTCTTCTTGCCATACCCTAATTGTGACCTCCTCATCCTGAGGCATTATCTCTGCTCTTAATGGAGCGGTTGCTAGGATTGCGTCCACTGTTATTATTCCTCTGGTTTATTTTCGTCCGGTTTATTTTCGTCTTTCCTTCCACCATCCCATGTACCGAAAGCCAAACGGATCAGAACTTTCCATGTGGACACAAATTATTTAGTAATGTCTTTATGGGAGAGAATCAATCACGGTTAATCTCTAATCAATATTTAAAAATCAAATCTAAATTAATTAACTTACCATAAGTCGGTCAATCACTGATTAATCTTTTCATACGTAGTCAAATTACATCAAAGGAAATGTTTCGATTATAGCAGTACCCTGCTACAAACCGAGCGAGTCGGGCTTTCACCCCGCACCGCACGACTCTTCTCTCCCCCTCGCCGCCTCCCGCCTCGGGCCGCTCGCCGTTCGTCTTCCCGAGGGACGCAGCCGCACCACCGCGCTCAGCTGCTCCCTCACCTCCCCCGCCGTCCTCACCCGTAGGACGCCGCCGCACCTCTCCTCTGCATCACCCTGTTGGCGGGATCCAGGTCACGGGGCTGATGACCTCATCATCTCTGA